GTATTTCATGTTCTATCTACAGGACAGAAAAATAGTTTCTGAAGACTATGAATATGGGACAGTGTTTCTCAACCTCAGCAACTTTAGGATCTGCTGGCTGGGGAATTCTGGGAGCTGAAGTCCACACATCTTAAAGTTGCCGAGGTTGAGAAACACTGACAAAGGATCATAATGGCACAGCTGCTTAGGCATTTTAGGCTCTGGGCTTAATGATTATATGGAAGGGAGGTCTTTAGAAACTTTGTGCATTAATACATTTACTTCAAAATACAAAAAAGACTCAACTTTTCCTGAATGGAGTACTGCAGATGTCTGTCCCCAAATCCTGCCCTGAAAGCCCCATATTCAGTGAAATAAAGCCGTTGCTTAATTAATACATTAATGTTTCTTTAATGAGGTTACAGTCTAAATAAAATGCAGAAGGAGGGCTCCGTCCAGTTAATGCTCAGCCCTTGCTGAAACCAGTGGCTGAATCTGGTTTTCTAACAGCAAAAGCTCGATCTATATGCAGGTGGGATTTACATTCAGCCTATATCGAAAAGTGGATTTCCAGTGTCATGACAGTTTCGCTGGATTGAAAGGGCTTGTTCCCCCTCAGCCTGCGGAGGACCACGATGGCAAATATTGCTGAAATTGGCATCCAGCTTGATGGCAAGAAAAAGAGTTGCTACCATGTATTTATTAGCAACTGTCATGTTGCAACATACAGTATTGTAACCAAAAAAGAGGAGTTTGGTGATACTTGAAAGAATTAACAAATCTGAAGGATGTGACAGCCTTTCTCAGCCTGGTGCCCTGCAGAACATTTATCATTCCCAGCCAGGATATTTCTAGGCTGGGGATTATGGGAACTGAAGACCCAATACACCTGGAACGCAACAGCTTGGGGAAGGTCTGTCTAGCTAATTCAGGTCTGCTTCAGGATGTCTTCAGGGTGCCAGAGCCTCAGTTTAAGACACCAGGAATCCCTTGGAAAACAGCAACAAAATCAGACGGTGTATTGGGCTCCAGTTCAGTTCAAAGGGGGACATGGGTCTTTCTGGGACTTTCCAAACTGGTGCTGAGCTTCCATGGAGTAGACCCCCACTGGCCAGATGCACCGTCTCCCGGCTGCAAAAGCTGGGTCCTCAATACGTCTGCTGCTCGTTGAGGCACGTTTGCTACCACGGACTTAAAGCTTCCTATCTTTGTATCAGGGAGGCATTGATAGGCACATAGGAATATACCTGTCCAAACCACCTTATCCCCCGGGTAGAAAGGTAAGGACTTGCCAGTTGTTACTCTCCTGCTGTGGGTTATAATGAAACAGTCGTACAGCCAACTTTCACTCCAGCTGCATGAGTCAGCCACCAATGTCTGTCTAATTGCAGTTGCTTGTGGACCAACAGTGGTTGCAGAGAGATCCTATCCAGCGTAAGCAAGTGGGCTACCAGGGCTACGAATTCCCATCTACACCAGCCTGGCTGATGGGCTAAAGGAGTTGGAATCCACACTTAGAGCTGGCATGGATGAACCCTGGCTGGCCTGGGAGAGAGGCAGCTGATGGTTGCAGGGGGCCCTGCAGTGGCGATGCAAAGGCAGAGGGTCCTTCTCAGGCCAGACCGTCCCCCCCACCAATGGCTTGCAGAGTAGTTGGAGTAGTTCTTCCTCTGGCCGTTCCTTGGAGGCCCTTTGCCCCACCAATGGGCGGTGCTGTCACCTTCCCCTGGTCAGCAATTGTGTCCCGGGGCCTGGAAATGCAGCGCTTGGAGGCTGTTTCAGGCCCTGAGAGCTTTTCCAGGTGGCTTTTGGAGTTCCCTCCAGAGAGCATTTCCCACCTAACAGGTGCGCTGAAGCCTTGGCCATGCTCTGCTCTCCTCAGAACACAACACACGCTTCCCTTGACCTAACCTGCACATTTTCCTTCTCAAAGGAGAACGGCCAATGGTTTTATTTCTTTTTCATGTTTTCTGCTTGGTGATAAGCAGGGCGGAACAGTACAAAACTCAGCACCAGGAGGGGAATCACTAAGAAAGGGGTGTAGAGAGCAGGCAGGGTCAGGCGTTCCCGCAGGGTCCATGGGCCGGGAGCCTGGGCGCTGGAGAAAGTGGCAAAGAGCAGCTGGGCTGGACAAGCAGCCATTACCGTAACTGCATGTGTCACGTAGATCGTCACAGGGGTCCGGACCCACTTGCAGTTCATTGGATTGAAAACCCAGTTTTTTAATAGCTGCAGTCCCCGGTCAAAACTCTGTGGCTCATTTCCTGATTTGCACAATTAATATGCAGATTGTGCCGTAAAAGGGCCTCTTTTTTTTTCACCATTTCAGGACAGGAAGAGAAGTCCACCCAGGCTGACACCAGTTTACCTTGTCCAGCGTGAGCACCTCTGAGCCCAACGGTTCTCATGAACGCCTCCCAACCTTCAAAATCCCTCTGGAATGGGGCAATGGCTCAGGGCTCTGTGCCCATCCCACGCCATTCCCACTGTTTTGCCATTCCCCAAAATGATTCACCCAAACTGACACCCTCACCTTTCCAGAAGGTGTACCCGGCAACAGGGAAGAAAAGCAGTTGTGCAAATGCATCTGTGCAGAGGAGGGACACAAACTAGGGGTGGAGATTTCCCATCAGTGGATCCTTGAAGGTAGTGTTAGCAAAATTTGAGAGTTTCTGACTCTCCCTAATTAGGATTCAGTCCGCCAGAAGATCAAACACGAAAGTACCAGCTGAGATTTTAAAGTTTTATGGAAAGTAAGCCAATTGAGTCAGCCGGGGTCTCCCCTTAAGGTAGAGGAGACCCCTCCCACGTCCAAAGAAGACAATTTTATACATGTTTCTTACAAAGAGATACAGCAATTAACAAATGATTGGTTGAAATTAACTTAAGTTTTGGATCCTTCTTATGATT